TTGTACTCAGCTATATTCCTCTATAGTTACATCTATAAGCACCATTGAGTATTAGAAAATGGTTTTGTAATATTTTTTTCTATAGAAAGATACAATGATAATTCAGCATTTCCCTTAGCATGTTTGATCAGAATTTGTTGTTTGTAATTCATAGTTTGGAGAAGTTTATTTCAGCTTTACAACTCATTGACAGAGCCATCTCTGCAGCTTCCTTCACAGTCTTTTGCACAGAGATACGCTCTGGGAGCACTGCAGCTTGTTTACATCCTTGGGCATGATCCTGACAGGCAAGCTGGTTCACAGAGGCTGTGTCTCACTCTGTAACCCCTTCCTTTAACACCAGCCTCCCTAGATTTTCTCCTGTGGATTAAGATGATATGAAGCTGCAATTTAGTGGTACCCCGGGTTCACTCCTTCAGCAGTTCCTTGTAGGGTATAATATAAAGTCTGGTCACTTGCTGAAGTTTATCAGAGGTTTTCTTACAGTAGAAGCTGTCTTGGCCTCAGGCCAAGGAGTGTCACTTTTCTTTATACCCTTATTCAGCTTCATTGATCTGAAGTTCACTCCTTATAACTGAGGCCTGAAGCCAATGAGAAGAAAGGCTGGATTTGGGATTGGGTGGGAATAGAGGGGAACAGAAGGCTTAAGATCCTATGATGCTTATGGAGGAAGCAAATTCCACAAATGATCAGCTCTGCTTCTGCAGAGAACAACGCTCTGTGTGGATTTGAGGTGGAAAACAAAGGCTTCCAACTCTGTTGATGATGAGCAGATGGAATGAGCTAATGGGGTAAAGGAGCTCTCAAATCCTGATCCTAAGTAGACTCTGTATGGATTGCCAGAGGTAAATTGAGGCAGGAAAAAGAATGCAAATCATCATTGGTGAAGTGTCTGTTCAAGTCTTTTGTCTGCTTTTTTTTTTTTTTTTCCAATTGGGTTATGTGTCTTCTTTTAATTGAGTTGTTTGAGTTCTCTATATTTTGGATTCAAGTTCTTCATTTGTTATATATTTGCCAATATTTTATCTTGGGCTGTGGCTTGCCTTTTCATTTTTTAACAATGGGTGTTAAAGAGCAGTTTTGTTGTATTAAAATAACAACAAAAAACAGCTTTGGGCTTCAAGAATTTTTCTGTGTTATTTACCTTTGCAATTTTATTAATTTCTGCTTAATGTGTGTTATTTTCTTCCTTCTGCTTGCATTGGGTTAATTTGTTATTCTTATTACAATTTATTATGTGTAAGCCTAGGTCATTGATTTTAATCTATTCAACCTTTGTAATATAAGCTTTTAATGCCATAAATTTCTAAGTATTTATTTACTTGATCCCATGGATTTTAATATTATGTGTTCCTTTTCATTTAGTTCACAAAATTGTCTAACTTTGTGGTATTTTTTTGACTAATGGTTTATTTAGAAGTGAGATGCTAGGTTTCTAAATATTTGGAAAATTATCAGACTTTTTATGGTTATTTTAAAATTATACCCAATTATATTTGTATAATTTCAATAATTTTTTATATTTATTGGGAATAATTTTATGACCCAGAAATATGGTCATTTGTGGAAAATAGTTCATGTGCTCTTGAAAAGAATGTGTATTCTGGTTGTTGGTGGAGGGGATTATTCCATAAACATCAATTAAGTCAAGTTACTTGATAATATGTATTGCTCACGATTTCTGTGTCTTTCCTGATATTTTTGTCTGCTAATTTTTATCCATTATTGACAGAGGGAATTTGAAATCTTCAACAATAATTGTGGATTTAAGAAAATTGTATTTTTCATATTTTCAGTTTTTGATGTATTTTGAAGTGCCTTTAAGTGAATACATTTTAGAATATTTATCTCTTCTGGATTAAGTGACCCCTTAATCCTATACAATTACCTGCTTTTTCCTTGGTTTTATACAGTTATAGATATAGATATCGATACTATATACTAATATTATAGCTGATATTGATATAGTGAAGCTTGTTTGTGTATATGTGTGTATACCTGCAAAATACAACTTTGTTATTTATTCAACCTATATGTGTCTTTGTATTCAATGTCAATTTTTCTTTTAGATAGTGTATAGTTTGGTCATTCTGTTTTCTTTTTGTTTTTTTTGGTCATTGTGTTTAATCTGTCTAACTTTGCCTTTTAATTGGTATACTTATATCATTTACATTTAATGTGATTGATTATATACATGTCTTCAAATCTGCCAGCTTTTCATTCATTTTTTGTCTTATCTATTTTTGGGTTCTTAGTTTTTCTCCTTTTCTGCTTTGTTTTGCATGAATTACATATTTTTCCATGATTTTGTTTGATCCTCTTTATTACTTTTTTTCCTCTATAGTTTACATATACTAATATAATTTTTAACTTCTAGCAAGCTACCTTTTAATATTAGTCTGTCACTCTATACATATTATAAGAACATCATAACAGTACACTTTCGTTTTCCATGTCTGGTCTTTGTGCTATTGTCATGTATTTTATTTTAACAAATGTTACAAACTTGGCAATGCATTGTTACTGTTTTTGCTTTAAACAGCCAATAATATTTTAATGAGCTTTAAAAGTAATACAATGAAATTTACCAACATATTTACCATTTCTGGCACTCTTCGTTCCTCTTCATGGATCCAAACATCTAGTTGATATGATTCTTTTTTTCTCATGAATGACTCCCTTCTACCTTTTATATTATAGTGCTTATCTGTTGTTAATGGAGTCTCTCAGCTTTTATAGACCTGTAAAAATTTTCAATCCATTTTCTTTTTGGAAGATATTTTCACTGGGTATAGAATTCTAAGTTGACAGTTTTTTTATGGAGTATTTTAACAATGTTGCTTTACTGTGTTCTGGCTTGTGTTTCTGTTTAGAAGTCTGTCATGGTCATTACCTTCGTTGTTTTGTGTGTAATGTGTCTTTTGTTTTCCAGTGGCTGGTTTTAAGATTTTTTTTCTGTGTCACTGCTTTGCTACAGTTGGGCTATGATTTGTCTTCTTGTGATTTTCTTTGTTTCTTCTATTTGAGGTTTTTTGAGCTTCTTGGATCTGTAGAATTATAATTTTTATAATTCTACAGATTGAAACTTTAGCAATTCTTTCAAAAAAAATTTTTTTGACTCACTACTCCTTCTATTCTGGAATTCGATTCCATGCTCATTACACTGTTCGAGATTGCTGATAACTTGCTGTTGTTCTGTTTATTTTTAAAGTCTTTTTCCCCTCTATTTTATTTTGGATACCCTATCCTATCATGTCTTTCAGTTTATTATTTGTTTTTCTTTTGCAGTGTCTAATCTGTCAGTCAGTGCACTTTTATGTCAAACATTGCAGTTTCATTTCAGTTCAATTTTTCTAATCTTCTACTTATCTTTTTATTCTATTCATACTTCTTGAACAAATTGAGTTGTATTTATAATTGTGTTTTAACACCCTTGTCCACTAATTCTATTATCTTTGTTATTTCTTTGATTTCTTTGTTATTGGCTTTTTGTTATGCTTCATATTTTTCTCATTATTTTCATGACTATTAATGTTTAATTGTATACCAGTTATGAATTTTAGATGATAAATCTTGTTTTGCTTCTTTAAATAGTTTTGGTCTATGTTCCAGGGCATAACTAAACTACTTTAAAGTTTGTTTTTAAGTTTTGTTATGTGGGTCCAGAGCAGCTTTTAAGTTAGGACTAATTTGTCTCAACTCCTAAGGCAAAACACATTTGAGGGCTCTAACACAAACATTGGCAATTTTTTTTCTCTAGAAGACCAGATAATAAATATTTTATACTTTGTTGGCCAAATGGCCTTTGTTGAAATGGTTTAATTTTGCTATTGCAGCACAAAATCAGTCATAGATCATACGTAAACAGATGAGTATGGCTACGTTCCAATTTGGCCTGTGGGCCATGTTTTACTGACTCCTGCTTTACTTAATGATAAGCATTAGGAGAGCTTTCCATTGTAGCTGTTGAGGGCATGAACTAGTTCCATCTTTTAGTGAGACTTGGAGATCATTCATTCTCCCTGCTCCTTTCTAATGCTACTTGCTTTAGCTTTAGGACTTATTTTACATGCATATGCTGATCAGTATTCGGCTAAAGTCTTTGAGGAAACCCTCTGATAATCTCTGGTGTTCATTCTCTTCTCTTCAGTAATCTGCCTCATGAATTGACAATTCTTAACCGCCTTCTTCTTATTTCTTCTTCTTTCCTCTTCTTTCTTTTTTCTCCTTTCTTTCCTCTTTCCTCCTCTTCCTCCTCCTCCTCCTCCTCCTCCTCCTCCTTCTTCTTCTTCTTCTCTTCTTCTTCTTCTTCTTCTCTTCTTCTCCTTCTGCTTCTCTTCTCTCCTCCTCCTCCTCCTCCTCCTCCTCTCTTCTTCTTCTTCCTTCTTCTTCTTTTTTTTTTCTTCTTCTTCTTCCTCTTCCTCCTCCTCCTCCTCCCTCCTCCTCCTCCCTCCTCCTCCTCCTCCTTCTTCTTCTTTCTTCTTCTTTCTTCTTCTTCTTCTTCTTCTTCTTCTTCTTCTTCTTCCTCCTCCTCCTCCTCCTCCTCCTCCTCCTCCTCCTCCCCCCTCCTCCTCCCTTCTTCTTCTTCTTCTTCCTTCTTCCTTCTTCCTTCTTCCTTCTTCCTTCTTCCTTCTTCCTTCTTCCTTCTTTCTTCTTTCTTCTTTCTTCTTTCTTCTTTCTTCTTCTTCTTCCTTCTTCTTGTCTTGCTCTGTCACCCAGGCTGGAGTGCAGTGGCATGATCTCGGCTCACTGCAACCTCCACCTCCCAAGTTCAAGCAATTCTCCTGGCTCAGCCTCCTGAGTAGCTAGGACCACAGACGTGCACCACCATGCCCAGCTAATTTTTGTATTTTTAGTAGAGACAGAGTTTCACTATACTGGCCAGGCTGGTCTTGAACTCCTGACCTCAGGTGATCCACCTGATTCAGCCTCCCAAAGGGCTGGGATTACAGGTGTGAGCTACCAAGCCTGGCCTGGACCTGTTCTTCAACCATGAAGACCAGGGGAAAGCGCAAACACAGTCCCCCACTACCACAAATTATGCAGTTGAATTTCCCACATTTGGGGAAATTGCAGGGGTCAGCACATCTGGAGTGCAATGGATGAGCCTCATGCTGGGAAAACCACCTTCATGATATTCTTAGCCTTCTTAAATCTTAGCCTTCTTAAATCCTGATCTCTGCCTCTTCAACTCAGGGAAAACGCCCAGGTCCAACTTGGTTTGATCTGTTTGATGCTGCATACTCTCTCCAGGCAGTAAGCTAGAGCAATCTTAGGACTCTTTTACTTTGATTTCTGATTCTTGGGGATCACTGCCATTATTTATTTGTTTTTCAATGTTGGAAAACTGCTCTTTCCTATATTTTGTCTGCTTTTTCCCTGTTATTTCAAAGTATGTATAAATTTAGTCCCTGTTATTCCATCATGACTAGGCACATATCCCCTCTGTTTTAAAAAGTACTTTTTAAGTACTGTTTATCTATTATAAAGTCTCAATGATTATATGTATTCTCTTTCTACCATGATTCCATGGGAATGAATTTTAACATTTAAAAATAGGTTTTTCTGATTTCCCTTTTGTATATTTTACTTATAAAAATAATTATTACATCCATGTAAACACTTGAACTTAAGCAGTTTTTCACTATGGTAAACATTTGTTAAAATAAAGTCTGAATTTTTCAACATCGTTCCCTCTAGGCTTATAAAACCTTTTCACCTGTAAATGGGAAATTTTTTGCCTTGTTTTTACCTCTCACTTTTTTTCCACTGGCCCATCATCTGAAAACTTATTATGCTAATACTACTCTTGATACCTACAATTTCCTTTTCATATTAATGGATTTTCATTAAGTGACGGGTTGTATTATCCCCGATTGTGTAAAGCAGTATTTTCTTGTCAAATTTTAGCTTTAGACTGAGAGGGTGGGAAGCTGAGAGGGTTTTGGCACAGCTTATACCTTATATTAATAATATAATTTCAAAATTAAAATACAAGTGGCAATGGTTAGAAATCTAAGAGACAAGATGATGAGTCAGGCTGGTGTTATAATGTGGGCTTCCACACAGGGGTGAGAGCAATTATAGTGTCTGGACAGTTAAACATCAAGACACTCTTAGCTAGATGACAGAACAGAGTTGTGGTTGGGGCTCTTGGTTTTAGTCTGATTCCATCTGTACTAGATCAAGTAGGACTCAGATATTTGTAAATGTGGATCATACCTTCTGTTGTTCACATTTCTGATGTTCTGGGCCCTCCTTTTCGCATCTCTTTTGTTATTCAGCTGAGATATGACATGAAAGGGAAAGGGATGGGATGTGTCTTCCCATCAGGAAGAAAATAGAATCAGCTATTCTGAGCATTTTAAACCTTTGGGGTTACTCGAGGCATCTCAGTTGCTACATCAACTGAACACTTCATTCATTCAATGTTTACCAAGTATATCGACCCTCCATATCCACGAGTTTTGCATCTGAGGATTCAAACAACTGAGGATCAAAAATAAAGAAAAAGTAAATAAATACATATATAATGATAAAAATAATACAATTAAAAACAATAAAGCATAACAATGATTTGCATAACATTTACATTGTTTTAAGTATTATAGGTAGCCTATTGATGATTTAAAGTATAGAGGAGGATGTTTGTAGGTTATATGTTTGTAGGTTTATGGAAGATGCTTGAGCATCCACAGATTTTTCTCTCTGCGGGGGTCCTGAATGCAATCCTCCATGGATACAAAGGGACCCCTGTACCTGTTATTTGCTAAATACTGAGACTATAATTGTTATTACACGTCTTCTAACTTTATAAATGTTAGCTCCTGGTTAGGAAGATTGATGTATAAGTAGGTAACTTTACTTATTAGCTCTAGTATTAGGGGTACATGTGAGATGCTCAGGAGCCCCCTTGAACAATTAGCAAGCCTTCTTGTGACTTTAGTAAATGCATTATCTTTGATGCTGAGAATCTTCATCACACATTGTGTCAATATACTCCTATCTCTACTGATTACCCATTATCTGTAATTTACTCATAGACAAGGACATGATGCTATTTTGTTCTTAAGTAACCAATTTTCTTCTTATTTTTGACATTATAGATTAAATCACTATATTACTTTTCCTTGACTCTAAATATATTTTGGAAGTAGCACCATTTAAATATAATTTTGATATTCTACTTTTTGAGTCGCTGAGAAAAAATATTTCCAATTATGCTTAGCCCTGGAGAACTGATTGTCATTATTAGCAATCTTGCAGCATGAGAGAGATTTTTTTCTTATTTAATTCCTAGTCATCTAAAGGAGACAGATGTTGATTTAGCAGGCAAATAACACCAAATAATTTCAGGCCTGGTGTCAGGCAGTTTTTTCTGTTGTCAGCTTATGAACTGGTGTGATCCTTCCTCCACTCCCAACTTCTTTTTCTCTTTTTGGGCACATTAGATTGAGTTAATCTGCCTCCCTCTGAGGCACAGAAAGGAAAAAGCCAACTGTATCCAGTTGACAGAATTCATATGAAGGCATTAGGATACTTGAGCAGAGTTTCTAACAGGGAAAAATCTCAAGACGTTTATGTTTGCAAGTATCTTTGGAAGCCCGGTACCACAGAAATTTGAGGGTAAAAGGATATGTCCAGGTTTCTTCCAGACTGGTAGTTTTAGAGTACCTATCTGAATTTAAAAATCTGAATTAATAATTACTTCGAGGGAATGAGTATGTGCTACAAAAAGAACACTTGGATTGCTGGGGGAATCAGATTATCATTCATCCTAGTATTTGTTTTTTAATAACCTTCCTAAAACGTATCTGTTGGGTGTCACTCCTCACACCAGGCTTAGCTGGGATGCATACTGGGCAGTGTACAATCAGACAAATGAGAGAAGAAATGGACTCAGCTGTGCTGCTGGCACCACATGGGCAACCAGAGTCAGGCATGCTCTGTGTAGTGTCAGCTGGCATCCATATTTGGGAAGGCTTACTCCAGCAGGTTGAATTAGCATTGAGATACAGGGAACAGGGGCCAATGGCCAGCAACTGAAGGTATTTGGGAGCAAGACCAGCTCTTCAGGAGGATTTCAAGAATGTAGAACTAGATAAGCTGGAGTCAGGGAATGAAAAGCACAGTATCCAAGGTGGGATCAGTGGACTGGGAACTTGGGCTAGGGGAAGGCTATTTGTGTATAATAGGGAGGTTGGGGGAGGGAAGAATGCACAAATAGGAACAGAGCTCGCTTAGACATACTAGATACCATTTGATGAGCATGAGGCTACTTTCAATTGCTGCTGCTGATGTACTATCCTTATAGTTTAATTTGGGCTTAAAGACTAACCAGGGGTAGGCCTGCAAAGGTGAAGGTAAGGCAGCCCAAAGTTGACTTTAGGTCTTATTCTAGCATCTAATTTCCCTCATATTCATTATCCTCACTCCTTTTACATTTTCTATTTCTTGCTTGGATTACATTTTGCTGGTAACAGTTGGCCGTGAAAAGTATAATTTAAACTCTTCCCATTTGGAGTGTTTCTCCACACATCTCTTTTCAAGACCTGCCGAGGGCTAATTTTCCAATCTTGTTTCTTCTAAGTCCCTGAAGTCCAGCTAAACCATTGGTCACTGTGCTTGAGTCACATACTTCTGGCCATCTCTGCGACTTCAAGATGTGCTTAAATTTTTTCTTTTATACCACTTTATTTGCTGACAGAATGCTAACTTTTTGGCTTTGTAGGTCAAACAACCCCAGGATATGATGGGCAGCTCAAGTCGCATGGTGATTTAAAAGCCCATGGCTAAGCATTCCTTCTCTACCAGGGCCCAGTAGTAAGCCAGAAGCTGTTTCTCCAAAAAAAAAAAAAAAAAAAAAAAAAAGATATCCATAAAGGATGGTATAGTTTTGCTTCAAAATTCTAAAAATCTGCAGTGTGATTCACCTAGAGATTCTTGCCAAATGCCTATCTGCCCCAGACATTTCAAGCACCATCAGATCTGCTGGGTCGTACAGCCTGACTGACAGAACAGCTTGCTTGACAGCTGGACAGGTGCAGAGCCTTTTCTTATTCTGCTCCCCACTCAGTATGCTGACAACAACAAAAAAATCTGGGGTTGGGCTTGTGGCCAAAACTGATCTTTTAAAATTCAGTAGGCTATGAAATACCTCATGAAGCCTTTAGAAAAATAGCTAATAGTTTTTCCTTGCCAATGAAATAAATTGTTTTTTTTCCCCTGAGAACTTGGAGAGTTATGTTTTTATTATTTTCTATGTTTTTTTGAGTTTGCTACCAACTGAAACCCTTGGAGCATTTTTTAAAGATGTCATTAGGCCTGTATAGTAATCCTAACCAAGGGCAAGTGTTTAATCCTTTAAATTTGTTGAATTATTGCATAAGCAAAGAATCAGCCAATAAATACTTAGGAGACAAATGTTCATATTGCACAAATAGGTAGGATATATGGATTCAATATATATAGAATGGTTTATATAAATACTGATACCCTTAGATACCTAAAGAAATAATTCAGTTTTTGAAAATTTATAATTTGTGTTCTGTTATACAGAATGGAGGTGAAAGATTGTTTATATATTTTAAATTTTATTTTTGGTTTTAGATTTACAAAAAAGTGTGCCAAGATAGTACAAAGAGTTTCCATACCCCACATACTGTTTCTTCTCTTATTAGTACCTGTCAGTACTATAGTACATTTGTTACAGCTAGTGAACAGATATGGATACATTATTCCTAACTGATGTTCAGATTTTTAAAGATTTACTTAGGGTTTTTTTTTTAAACCTAATGTTGCTTTTTTGTTACAAAATCCCATCCGGAATACCACATTACATTTAGTCATCTTGTCTCCTTTGGCTGTCTTGGCTGTGACAGTTTCTTTGTTTCTGATAACCTTGAAAGTTTTAAGACATCCTGCTCATGAATTTGGTAAAATGTCTATCAGTTGGAATTTGTCTGATATCTTTCTCATAATTAGACTGGGATTCTGTGTTCTTGAGAGGAATACCAGAGAGGTAAAGTGCCATTTTTGTCATATCAAGTTCAAGGATATATACCATCAACAAGACTTATCTCTATCATATTAACCTTGATTATCGGGCTGAGACAGTGATTGTCAGATTTCTCTACTCTGACATTGTTCCTTCCCCC